CACGGCCAGCAGGACGCCTGCTCCTCCACGGGGATGACCTGGGACTTCCTTAGCAATCCGCACGCTCGGTGCCGGCCGATGTGAGCTGGACTGGCTACAGCAGGGCACTGGAGCACTGGGGATGGCGGCTGAGCCCTGGCACTGCTCTGGCAGGGATGTCGGTACCACCACCGGGCTGCCGTCACGCACCTGGGGACAGGGACCCCAGCACCAGGGTGCCCCAGCCCTCCAGCCAGCACGCAGGTTTGGCTCTGGACGGGGTTTCCCTGGCTCTGTTCCTCCCCACAGTTACAGAGGTGATAAATGCCAAGGAGCCCTGCTCCCTGGGGACGGCTGCAGCCCCACACCGAGGGCTCGTGCTTGCCGTCTGATAAAGCTCTATCACGGCTCTGGGGCGGGTGGCGAGGGCGGCACTAACCTGGTTTTGACCCAATGACTTCACCAGCAGCTTTGCTGATGCTGCAGCACAAACAGGAGGCAGCCAGGGCACGGGATTTACCCATCTGGGCAGGTGTCACCAGGCTGTGGTCTCCTCTGGAGGCAAAGGAAAGGTCACGCTCCTGTCCAGCCCTCCCACATCCCACCTCCGCACCTCTCGGGGCTTCCCTGTGCCTGTCCGTGCCCTCCCCTTGTCCCACAGCCTGTGCATCCCAGTCAGGGAAGGAATAGCAAAACACAGTGAGCTTTGGGTGATACCTCCCTGGAGAGAACAGGTCCTCGCATTGCAGAGAGCCATGACAGCCCTGACCCTGGGTGTTAGCCCCTGGCCTTGGTAACACTGGGATTTGGAGGATTTTTCCTTTGCACCCACACCTGCACTTCAAATTAAATGCAGCAGTGTCCCTGTGCGCTGGCGTGAAGGAGGCTGCAGTTTGTTATAAACCCGAGGGCTGACCGATAAAGCCTTGTGGCAGCCTGCAGATCCTCATGTGCAAGGAATTCCCTCGTGAGCAGCTTTGAACTGTAAAATAATCACTTAGCCCTGTAAAACTGTATTGGCCATAAATGAACTTTGTCATGTTTCTGCTAGTTTCTTTGCTCCATAACAACTGCATCACAGACAAACACAATGTGCCCAAAAGCAATGGGAGAAAAAAAAAACGTCTTCCAGGAGCCTCATTTGACGTTACATCATATTTTCCAACAGCTTGAGGCAGCCAGGATGTCCGCTGGAGCAAACCCCCCCACCAGTGCTTCTCCAGCACAAGGTGAGGTCTGGGCAGGGACAGCCCCAGCCCCAGCCCCAGCCCCGCTGCTGCAGAGGCTGCTCAGGGAAGCAGGTTTGGATGGTGTTTCCCTGGGCAGAAAGGTTTCCTCAGCCAGAGGTTAAATTCAAGTCAGGGGAACTTTTCTCCCCATGAAGGCGTTGGTATGTGTCGCATCCACAGCATCCTCTAGCAACCCATCATGCTTTCTGCCTTCCCGTCTCCTGCTACCTAGGGGTGGGTGACAGCACACGACGAGCTGTTTGGCAACTTCATAAATTCACACCTCTTGGGTAAATACCATCTGTTCTTAATCATTTGTTCTATTCATATTATTGACTTTAACCTGCCTGCTTTATCACACTCTCTTTACTCCATGACAGACACCTTCTCCATCTGTGTCTTTGGCTGTGCCCTATGCCCTTTTTCCCAATTTTCTTTTGGCTCGGCCCCCACTTCACTCACCAGGTCCCTCTGTGGTGGGGTTGCCTCTCAGAGTCTCTTTTCCTCAAGGTTTTCACTTACCTTCTCTGCAGGGCTTTCTGGAGAGCAGCACTGGCACTGGACCACTTACCAAAGCGTGCTTTACACATGATTTTCACACCTCAAGTCCCATACCTCCCAGCCTGTGTCCATCTTAAAGCTGGTGCAGAAATCGAAGGCACCCAAAAGGTACTGCTCCCCTTGGAGCATCAGCTCAGCTACAGCAGGTTACCTAGTGCCTCGTTCTCCCCCCTGCTTCCCACTGGATTACCCATTCCTCTGCAGGACCAACTCAACCTGATGCTGGATATGCATCAGCTGGGGAACGCTTAGCCCATTTAGCTTCACAAGCCACTCGCAGAACAAAACATAGTTGGTATAAATAGAAGAATCCAAGTCATTTCCACCCTGACCAGTGGGAATGCAATATTTAGGAGCAGAATTTGAAAAGGGCTCAGCCTGGCCCTCGGGTGTGTTGAAAAGGACTTGCTGAGCAGCAAGGTGCAAAGGGGATCTCAGAACAAAACCTGCATCTTTTCTCTCCCACTTTTGCTAGAAGAAAGCATCGCTTTGGAGTCTGCACAAAAGGGACCAAGCAGCCTTCATGCCTCCCATCCTCTTTGCGCTTCCAGTTTTTGTCTGGGGTAGCTAAAATTCACAGAAACAAAGAAGCTCCATGGGAAGGTTTTTATCAGGGTGTCCTGCTCTGGCTATAAAGGTGAGCACCAGATTGCTGTTCTGAAAGCCCTTCTCACAGCAGCCCACACTTAACTGATGAAAAAAAATGGGTGCCAAACCAAAACCAGGCATTTTTGAAGGTGATTAAAACCACAACGCTGCACTGTGTCTTCAGAAGGGCCACCCTTTCCTACTGAGGTGCTCCGAGCCACTCAGCTAGGTTAGCTCTACAAATGCTTTACAACAACGGTAGCACACCCTCCCGCCTCCCCTTGTGCTTTACGGACCCGGGGGCTCAGTATCCAAAACGGATGGGGTTTGGCTTTGTCTGGCACTCAGCTCCTAATCGGTTTGCTTAACACTCGGCTGCTAAAGTTAGCGGAGGCTGAGGAATAAATTATGCTGGACTAAGGGCAACATCATTAGTGCATCATCAGGCAGGTGAGGACACGGGGCTCCTGACCTCCTAGAGCCTCTTGTGATTTTTGACTGATACCTGGGGCTTCGTATGACACACTTGACTCACCACGTTCAGGCAGGCAGAAACCCAGATCAGCATTGCAAGGGACAGCAGGAGGGACATGTCACTGCCACCAGCCTGCGGCCCTGCCTCCCGCTGCCTACCGGACCAACATCTGCCAAACCACAGCAAATGATGACTGTGGAATTTATAGACCACATGGCAGCAATGATTCAGAAGAAATGGTATTTAATTATGGTATACATTAAATTAAATGTCATTCTGAATATTGGTCTCCAATTCATGATGACTTATTCACCGTAGGGCAACTCCTATTAGTCCCAGCAAGGGTTAGGGTCCCACTGCGCTAGACATTGTACAAACACAGAGCAAAAGAGCCTTTCTTGCCCCAAAGAAAGCATCCAGCGTTTTTCTTTTTAGCAGTGGTCATCCGTCCATGGGCACTTCTACTGCTCTCCACCTCTCTAAATCACTCTCAGCAGTCGGCGCACACTGCAAAGTTCAAGAAAAATTTGCACAACTGGGGAGCGCGAGACCCGTTTACGAAGGGGAGCAGGTAGAGAGGAACTTGGGTCTCACGGGAGGGCAGACGATGCCTTTTACAGCTTCCGCAGCTTTGGGAGGTAGGACTTGGGCACCTAAGCCCCTTCAGGGCTGTGGAGGGTGTGGAGCCCGGTGTCCTCAGCGGGTGCCCAGCTGGAATGTGCCCTTACCGCAGAGGTGGGCTCATTCACAAGCTGGAGATCTTGCTGCGAAGCTTTTCCTCCAAGAGCTGCTGCCAGGTGAGACAAGGCGGGCAGCTGGCAAGGATCGCAGACCGGCATCTTCGCATCACAGCCCAGCGCCCAGCTCGGGGGTGACACCCCAAGGACGAGAGCACAGTGGTTATTCACAAGAGTGGAGCCAACAAGGCTCATCATCAACCTGCTAACAGTGGAAAACAAGACACCTGTACTGGCCTTTTACTGGGCAGGAGATGAGGCAGTAACTGGGCACTCAGTTGCTTCTGCACCCCAAGGAGGGGAGAAAAGGGAGACAGTCTCTGAACCCCGTTTGAGGAAGATCCCACCAGAATTTCTTGCAGCCTCATTCGCCTCTGTAGCAGCAAGTGCTACAGGCTCACCTGAAAACTGCCGATGCCGAACTCTTCCCAGCAGTCTGGATGTGTTGACCAGGCTGCCGAGTGCTTCCCACCCCACCATAGTCCATCTCAGAGTCCCCAAAAGCAGAAGAGTCCCTTGAGATCTCCGTAGTGGCAGCTGTCCCCACGTGGATCGTCCAGGTCCTGCCGGGGCTCCACTCGGCTCGCCCCGTGCCCTTCCTTCCCGTGGGATGTCACCGTGCAGAGGACACGCGTCTGCCTGTCCTCCCGCAGAGCAGAGACCGGTGCTGCCTGACCGGCGTCCTCGCCTGGGCCCGGGTCTTTGAATTAACCCATTTAAAGGAAGAAGAGAAATACAAAACCAAAACCATCCTCAACTCTGACCTTTACCAAAAAAAAAAAAAAAAAAGGAAGAAAGAGAAGAGATTTGGGAACAATATATACAGACGGGGGAATTGCACTTAATTACAGTAGTTTACATCCATTGGACAAAATTTACCTCTTTTTATATAAATCTCTATGTATAGGAGTGGGGAAGGGTGAGGATGGAGCAGACTGTACCTATATTTACAGTTTAATCGGCTCAGTTCAACAGCACATGCAATTCCTCCTTCCAAACGCCAAGTAACAGACCCAAGTCCCTCTAAGTCCGTCCGGTGGAGGAGTATAACTTAAATATTATCCATCTGCCCCTTCTGCCACTTCCCAGTACAGCTTGTTCTTAGTTCCTCGTGAGAGCCAACAGCCTCTTGGAAGGCAAATACTTCAGAAAAAAAATAATCCCCAAGACACATCTTGGAAATACTGCGCAGAGGGAAGGAGAGGCACGGTCCCGGGTGGGCACCCCACAAATCTGGGCTCGTCCCCGGCGGGGCACGGAAGGGCGACGGGGAGTCTCGAGCCTCCGGCTCCGTTTCGGTTTGATGGGCTCCTCGCTGCAGCGCTGGGCTTCGCTCCGGCGACTCCTCGGGCTCCGCGCGCGGGTCACCGGCGGGATGTTGTGGAAAATAAGATCCCGTTGCTATGTGCAAAAGCAGCGAGGTGTGGAGCATCACCAGGCTTGCAGGGGACACTGGGGAGGGAGAGAGCAGCACAGTCAGCGGCAGGCAGGCAGGGGGTGAAGGCAGCACCGCGGGCGGCTCTCGGCGGGCATCGCAAAGCATTTGGAGTCATCACCTCCTGCACCACCCCGGGACCTCGGCGGTGCCGCGCAGGCCCTGCTTGGCCCCGAGCCCTCCCCAGCACCCCTGAGGGGGAGGCAGTGGGAAAATACTTTCCGAGCAAGATATTGCCACCCCCTCCCAAAAATAATAATATTAAAACCAGGGCTTGTTTGTGCCCAGGCTGTTGCAGAGATTGTGCCACGCAGCTCGGCAGCACTTCCAAGAACA